ATTCTCCTCTCGGACACGAGTCTGAAGGGCCAATCAAGGCGACGTCCAAAGCCAGAGGCCCGCCACCTGATTCCTGCGGAGCGAAGACAAAGGGGCCGAAAGCCTCTTTTTCCCCCCTCCCAAAGGGCCCATAGACATAACCCCCCGCCACCCCCCTCCTCCCTCTCTCCTCCTCCCTCTCTCCTCCTCCCTCTCTCCTCCTCCCTCTCTCCTCCTCCCTCTCTCCTCCTCCCTCTCTCCTCCCTCTCCCCTCCTCCCTCTTCTCTCTTGCTCTCCCCCCCCCTCCTCCTCCCCCCCTCTCTCTCTCTCTCTCTCTCTCTCTCTCTCTCTCTCTCTCTCTCCCCTCTCTCTCTCTCTCTCTCCCCTTCTCTTCCCTCTTCCCCTCTCTTTCTCCCTCTTTGTCTCTCTCTCCCCTCCCACGACCGCCCTTGCGTCGGGCTGCCTGGCCCTGCCGGCAACGCCACAGGGCTCACTGCTCTCCTGTCGGCCACTCTCGGCGGCGTTGTTGTTGGACTCCCCCCTCCGCTCCGCTCCGCTCTGGGACGAGTGGCCGAGTGTATCAAGTTCGGTGCACCTCGCCGCAGCAGACTGATTCCGAGAGTCGTTTTCGTCGCGCTGTCTCTCTCACACTCATGGGGCGTTCCGTTGAGGTGCGAGGGAGGCAGAGTGGTCAAAATGACGCAGTCTCTCTCGCACTTCACCTGAACGCCCCATGTGTGCGAGAGAGACAGCGCGACCAGTGTGCTGCCGCTGCGGCACACCACACGGCACCGCCGGGGCTTCGCTAGGTTGGCTGCAGGGCTGCAGGGCTGCATCAAGGAAGCCCTGAAGCGACTCAATGTCAGGAGGTGTCGCGTTGACCCGACCGGCCGGCCAGTCGCTCTGTCTCCCTCGCACTCACGGGGCGCCTCGTTGCGGGGCGAGAGAGGCAGAGCGACGAGAATACTGCCCGGGAGCGGTACAGGTCAGGGCCGCGCGGTCTGGTTGCAAGGCCGAGGGGCGGGTGTCGTGTCCGGCGGATTGATTCCGCGAGTCGTTTTCATTGATCGGTCTCTGTCGCACCCATGGGGCGTCCACTGTAGGTGGGAGCGAGAGCGACGATGACGACTCTCGGGATCGGTCTGGAGCTGGGGCCCACCTCGCCGTGTTCCATGTTTATGTCTACACTGAGAACCCAATGATGGCGAACTTCTCACTTCCCGGAGTAATTCTCCACACCTAAACGTGTGGAACATGCAGTCTCCACAATTGAAGTGTAGAGTAAGCTCACAGAGCTGCTATCTCGGGATGGCGCAAACGTGGAGAACTCCGCACTTGAAGTGTGCCAGACTGCAAACTCTGCACTTCCAAAGTGCGGAGACTGAAAATTCCAGACACCTCCCCATTCCAAGTGTGGAGTTCTCCACACTCGGTTTCACAGTGAATTGACGCTAAACTGATAGCCTTTGCACTCAAAAAAGTCTAAAAAGCATTCGCTCCAAAACTGCGAAGAAAATGAAGGCATTGTAGAATGGCTTCGTATTATGAAGAAATGCTTCGTATTGCGAAGGAATTTGCTTCATTGTACGAAGCATTTCTTCCTAGATTTTACACTGCCTTCATTTTCTTGGTTTTACGAAGCGATTCTTCGTAGAGTTTGTGGCTTCTCCAAGGAGAAATAACTATATATAAATTTGTACACCGAAATTCAGCAAAAATGTAAAACTTATCGAAGTTCATCAAATTTTATCGAAATTGACTGAAATTCTTCTCAAAATTTGGTAGTTTTTTTTTGCCTGAAATTCGTCAAAATTCAACTGAAATTCATTGGACTTGTACACTGAAATTCACAGTTATTTCCCCTTGGGCTTCTCACTTAGCGTGCCCGTGCTCACGGCCTCCTCCTCTCCTCGTTGCAGGTGCCCCTGGAGGACCTGCAGGTGGCGTCCCGTTTGCTGGTGCAGGCGCTCCACGTGCGCGAGCGCTACATGTACGTGTCCAGCCAGTCCTTCCCGTCGGTGACGGCGCGCTTCCTGCGCACCGTGGGCTCCGGCAACCCGCACTGCCTGGACACGGTCAAGCACGAGGACAGGAAGACCATCGAAGGTACGTTCGGCCCAACCTTGGGCCTAACGCCGGTTGACACTTTCGAGACTGCGGGGCGTTTAGACGTTCCTTCCGGTGATTGGCTTTTCATATCTTAAGTGGGATTGGGTTTTGATTGTAGCTATCCATTTCTACTTTGACAATCTGTCTTTTTTTTTTTTGCCACTTCATTTTGATGGCTGTTGAAAGAAGTAGTGCCCGTTGGTATGATTTTGGGTATACTCAAGGTATAATTGGGGCAGCTGTTTCCTTGACAAGATTTGACAATTTTGGAGCTCACACCATACCAAATGTTATTTTTACAATAAAATCATCACATTTGGTATGGCATGACCTCTAAAATATCAAATTTTGTCCTGGAAACAGCTGTCTCATGTATACCTGATGTCCCAAAATTACCCCAACTGACCCTATTTGTGTAATACAGTATCTCATTGGGCTGTTGTCTTCAGTTGCTGGGCATCTCCTTGATTGTCGGGTAGTTTTGTTTTACATTGTAGTGGCCTCAATTTTGCCCCTATATCGTGGTGGGTCTTTTCTACAAATTTGTGTTGCTGTATGTATATATGGGTCTGTTTTTATGCTTCTTAATGGCCAGTCTAGACATTTTTATCTCTATTTTGATTACCTTTGAGCTAAATTTCCATTTTAACTTTCTCACAGCATGAGTGCATACTTTGCACATTGTGAACTTCAATTATTTCTTTCACACTTTTTAAACTTTAAACAAATCTGTTTATTTTGATTAAATATTTTCACATTTTCAATGTTGGAAACATAATTTGCATGTAGTAAGGAAAAGGTCTAAATATTTTTCAACCTATTCTTTTTCCGGATGGTAATATGGTTATTGGGTAGCGAGACCTCATCACTGAGGTACTACGCCAACCATGCTGACAACATTTACTTCCTTTCCCTAGACAGTAAGTAGAGGCTGTGGATTTGATGACATCTTGCCACTCACCACTTTATGTGTCCAGCCTTTAAATTTTTCCCTTCTGAATACCTTGACTTTGTCTTATTTTTTTAATATTTTTTAACTCTGTGTTGCCATTTTGTTCATGCCCTATAATTTGGATTTGTTTTATGTCATTTGTTGTGACTAAAGAACTTTTTCGTCTGAGTTTTTTCTCACGTTTAATTTTTGTCGACGCTTCCATGCCGGATTATCTATTTACTTTTTACTGGCCCAAAGTTAGTTTCGAAGTTCAAGTAAGGTCCATGTGTCATGTCCTCTGTGGCTTTTAGGTTCCGGAAAGCCTCCCTCATCCTGTCCTCACCCCCTCCATGGTCATGGTGCGTCTGAATCCATGGTCCCATCATCCAGAGCATCCCTGGGCAGCTGCTCTACACAACTGCCCACCCCTGCCTCCCCGAATCCTACCTGTCCCAACCAGAAGAGCGACAGCGAAAGCTACGCTTCTCCAGCTGCAAGTGGACTCCTCAGTGGTGGATCTTGCGCTGGTGTTGCCCTTGGCTCTAAAGATATTGTCAGTGATAAAATGACCCACGATGAAGCAAAATGGCAAGGTGGGCTTGGTAGACACAAGATTCTCTTCTTTATCCGCTGAAGTAAATTACTTTTAAATTTTCATGCCTTTGGGTTACAATGTTTGTGCGGCGCGATATTTACATAAGTGGGGTCTCGTTGACAGAACACCATTTTAGCTACTGCCAATTATGCATGAAAGCTGCGTTTAGTCTTAGAATGCTTACTATTTCTCCAGTCTCTTTCAAGACAGAAACCTGGAGCTTTGGCACTGTCTTAAAATATCCCTTATCTGAAACCCTATTGTTACTGTCAAAAGTTCTCATCCAACTGTGACTGTGAGTTTCCTTCCCAATGATGCTCTGTTCCTTTCCCTTATCTTGTCTTTACCAAACAAAAACTCTTTATGTGTTCTGTGGATCGTGATACTCAAAACAGAAAGCATGATTGCATGACACAGTGACCATGTAGCACTGTGTGATTCAATTCTCACGGGAGTCTTCTTCTGTCATGCAAAGGATGCAGGCCTGTCCGGAGTACTAAGTGGCTTGGTCCGCTTGGCCGGCCACCAGGTATGGCGAGAAGTATCTAGCAGCTTGAGAAGCAACGATGTTAGATCTTCACTTCACATGCACCTCTCCAGACCGCCCTGGTCTCTCACACAGAGTGCTGTCTTGGTCTATGATTTTTCATGTTTTTCTTAGCTGAGCATATACAAGTTTAATTCATATTTTGGTCCACAAGCATTATTTCTTTTCCTTTTTTAAAATTTGTTGGTGTTGTTTTTTGGGGAGAAGGTCAGTTAAATGAAAATATTTTTTATTTAGTTTTAAAATAATTTATGCTGTTATCAAAATTTTAGAACGTTGCATGTTCAAGGGGTTTTGCTGGACTCAAAGAAAGTAACTATGCATGTGCGTGTGGACATTCAATTCTCACTTATCTTCACTTCTTGTCACTGTTTAGTGCACCATACCACACATGTCCACGTAAGGAGCCGTTCATTAATTTAATTGTGGTGATTGACAGATAAAGTAAACCGTTTCCACTCAAGCAAACTGTACCCAAGAAATTACTGTCTTATCTCAAATATGAAAAATATGAAATCCTCCCTTGCTCTTGCAGCTTCTCAAAATTACTGAACGGTGCCTATAAAAATAATTTATGACAGTGAAGGGGAAAAAAGATCACTGATGGTTTGCACTTTACATGTGGGGAACTAAGGAAATCTTTCCAAAGTAGGAGTCGTTACACATCATAGACAAGTATTTCGGTAATGTGTTACATTTGTGGTGAAAGTCGTGGGTTCTTTGCAACAATAAGCATGATGTACAAATAATAGTAGTTCCTGGAGTCAGGTTACTCAACTTAGGTTTATTCTTAAATAATTTTACCAAACAATATTTACATTTTCAAAAACTTAAGAAGATACACTTTAAAATTGCTCTACTCAATGCTAACATGTAATTTTCTTCTTCAGATCATCCTGTGCATCCTCCTGCCAACCGAGGGGATCCTTGGGAATGTGAATTCCCCGCTCCAAAGGGCTATGTGATAAAGCCCGTTGACGGAGTTTTCCAGCTTTACGAAAATCAGGAAGCTGTTGAACGAGATGAACCTATAAATTATTCCTATCCCAACTTGGCGACATTTGTTCAAGACATGAATCTCTTGTGCACCATGATAGCCGATGGACCTTTGTAAGTAATCTTGGAATCTCTTTTCTTTTTTGAAATAACGAAGCTTATCATTTTCTGGTCCTTTGTGTAGGAAATCATTTTGCTATCGCCGCTTGAGCTATTTGTCTTCCAAGTTCCAATTACATGTCCTATTGAATGAAATGAGGGAGCTGGCATCCCAGAAAGCTGTACCTCACAGAGATTTCTACAACATAAGAAAGGTAATTTTTGACACAGTAATTATTATTACAATTTGAAAAAATTTGCCAATTCTGTTAGTATCTTCTGACACATCATGATTAATTCTATCTTGTCTTTTGGTCAATGTTACAGGTTGATACTCACATTCATGCTGCATCATGCATGAACCAAAAGCATTTACTACGTTTCATCAAGAAAACTTTAAAAAATCATGCTGATGAAGTTGTCACAGTAAGCAAAGGGCCCATGACTCTGAAAGAGGTTTTCCAGTCTATGAATTTGACCTCCTATGATCTAACTGTGGATATGCTTGACGTACATGCTGTAAGTAGTTTGGTTCAGTTCGTCCTATCTTGTGGTTGACCATTTATTTTAATTTCTGGTGGCAATGTGTTTGAATTGATCTTTGGTCTCCTCATAGGACCGCAACACATTCCATCGATTTGATAAGTTCAACGCAAAGTACAATCCTATTGGTGAAAGCAGGTTGAGAGAAGTTTTCCTTAAAACTGACAATTATCTGAATGGGAAATATTTTGCCCGCATCATTAAGGTAAGGAACCCAGCAAGCACTTGGTTAAATTCAGCCACTTCATTATTTTTGATTTTTTGTTTTGCTCTACTTGGCAGGAGGTATCATCTGATCTAGAAGAGAGCAAGTATCAGAATGCAGAACTGCGTTTGTCAATTTATGGGAAGTCTCCAGATGAGTGGGATAAGTTAGCAACCTGGGCCATCACTTATGATGTGTATTCTGATAATGTCCGTTGGTTGATCCAAATACCACGTCTGTAGTACGTATCTCACCTCTTTTCTCTAGTTACAATATTCTCTCATTTATACTCCTAATTTTTTCTCATCCTCATCTGTCGAATTTTCTTTTGTTTCAGTGATATTTTCAAGTCAAACAAACTCATGAAGAACTTCCAGGAAATTCTCAACAACATTTTCAAACCTCTCTTTGAGGTCACAAATGATCCTAACACCCATCCAGCATTGCACAAATTTCTGCAATATGTTATCGGGTTTGACTCTGTAGATGATGAGAGCAAACCTGAGAACCCCTTATTTGACAAAGATGTCCCACCACCTGCTGAATGGTGTGATGAAGAAAACCCTCCTTATGCCTATTATTTGTACTACACATTTGCGAACCTCACAGTCCTCAATGCCTTCCGCAAGTGAGTTCAAGAAATACTTTGGCACTGTGCCTTTATCAATTTTGGTATGTTGTATTTAATGTTTGAAATTTTGTTTTGTTTATTAGAGACCAAGGCCTCAACACATTTGTCTTGCGTCCCCATTGTGGGGAGGCTGGGCCAATTCAGCACCTGGTGTGTGGATTCATGATGGCAGAAAATATTTCTCATGGCTTACTGTTACGCAAGGTATGTAAATAATTATTACAACCTATTGAAAATCTAGATAAAATCAAAAATTTGTGTTAATAAAAGTAATACTCTGTTGTAGGTTCCTGTTCTTCAGTACCTTTACTACTTGGCTCAGATTGGTATTGCGATGTCTCCACTCAGCAACAATTCTCTTTTCTTGAATTACCACCGTAATCCTCTTCCCGAATATCTGGCTCGTGGTCTGTGTGTCAGCCTTTCAACTGATGATCCCCTGCAATTTCACTTTACCAAAGTGGGTGTTTCTATTTTGCTCTGGTCACTATCACAATTTTTTTTTTAAATTAATAAAATTATTTTGAAAATTTAAGGAACCATTGATGGAAGAGTACAGCATTGCAGCTCAAGTATGGAAGCTCAGTAGCTGTGACATGAGTGAGCTTGCTCGCAACTCAGTGATTATGAGCGGCTTTCCCCGCAAGGTAAATATCTATGTGAACTTGTATTCATCTAATATGTGGGAACGTGTTTTTTGCTCACACAATTTCTCCTCACCTACAGATGAAGCAGTATTGGCTAGGTCCTAACTACACCAGGGAGGGTGTGGCAGGTAATGACATTACTCGCACAAATGTTCCTGATATCAGAGTGGCGTACAGGCAGGAAACAATGCTAGATGAGCTGTACAACATATTCAATGTGGCTGAGAAAGAGGGAACACTCCAGTGACAGTAGATTCGTGGCCGTTTCCGCCGACGTGTGACTCTCTTTTGAGTTGCATGAATTGCTGTATGGAGAAGCCTCTTTTGGAAGCTATCATCATCATATCCAAATGTGACACATTGCTATCCTGTGTATCAATTTGAAGTGATGGCTCACAGTAGCCTGTATTCAAACATAACTTTAACTTCAATTTCTTTCATGTTCTTGTTAGATTAGCTGTACTTAAACGCTATAAATCAGTTTAAAAAGATTTAAAAAAAAAATTATAATGGGAGCTTATTGGCTTGAAACTTCAATCTTATGTGAAATTCGCACTGTTAAGAAGAAAAGACAACTTATGCACATTAGGATTTTCAAAAGTGTCAATGTGTGCCAACGATTTCTTTGTCTTTCCTGCCTTTAAAAATGAATTACATTGTCCCAAGTAGATATCTTGCTTTGTTGACTTCATGGTGATCAAGAGATGTGATTTTGGGAGTTTATAGAAAACTATAGGAGGACCTAATTGTTAAATCATTTGATGATAGGAATTGAATGTCTGTGATTGTGGTTTGATTGGAAATCTTCTCATATTATATATATATATTTTGTTACTTGGTTCTGTCAATGCCTCTATCCATTATCAAATAATGGGACAAGTGTGATATGAAGAGTTGAATTCTCAGTTATGGACCTCAGTTGTGTGAAGACAGTTTTAACGTTGTATACCATGTATATGTAACAATTTTAAGTATTTATTTATTCTTAGCCAATATGCATGGAACATAGGAAACAAGATAAAGAAATTTTTATGTACTATATTAATGCACAGCTTTTGGCTTGAGCTGCTCATTGATTTCCTTTTTATCCAACTGCATGTACCAAGGTAGTAGTATGGCTATCTTAAAGCAACATTATTTTAGCTTTAAAAAAAATCAATTTGCTATTTACGGTTTACAAATCAAATTTTTGAATGTCACAACCTTTAGGTGTCTTTAAATCCTTGCAGCCTTCATTTTCTTCTCATGTGTGTAATCATTAAATTAGGCGTGAGTCTTAGTCATGATTATTTTGTGTAACTTTTTTTACTATTTAGCTGTGAACCAAATAAAGAACTTTTTCACTCCTAAAATCATTTATTTTGAGTAGTTTGTTTTTGTAGGCAACATTAATACAATATGATTGTCAGTTGTTGCCAAGGTAAAGCACTTTGGCCTGCACGCGAACTTTAACACATGACTCCATCACTTTTCAATACTGCTAATGAGAGATTGACATTTTTCAAAGATCCTCGCCCTACACTTTTTGGAAGCACGCACACATTAAACACATACAGCAAGCATACAGCAAACAATTATTTGTCCTGGACAGTGCGAGCTGCTTTGTCCATAAAAGACGCCAACTTTATATCCCTTTGACTGAGACCATTTACATCATGTGAAGACAGTGTAACTTGAACCTTGTTATAAACATTGAACCATTCAGGGTGGTGATCCATCTTCTCAGCTAGTAAAGCTGTACGAGACATGAAACCAAATGCCTGCAAAGAGGGAGAAGTAAATGCGATCATACAAATGTTCAAAACTCGTGGACTTTTCTGTTCATGAAAATAACTAAATTATACCTCGTTAAAGTCCTTAAACAAATATTCCTTGTAAATGGCATCTCTGTTTTGGACGACAGACCAACCATTGCCCAGCAATGGCTGCAGTTTGGTTTCTCTGTCTTCAGTGGTGAGTTTTCCAGCCTGCAGAATAAACAAAGACAATCAATTACACATTTACTGCAGAAAAGTGCAAAGGAATACTCTTTGGATCTCTTCCATTTTTTAGAATCTTTTCAGGGAAAATTAGAGACCAGAAGCAACAGGGAAAAGGGAAGGGTCAGATGGGTGACATTGTGTCACTCCTACAAGATTTTTCTTTCAACTGCGTTGATCAGTCGCGGATCACAAAGGGAGGAGGCGATGTAATGTAGGCGTCTCCTCCCCCCCCCCTCCCCCCCCCCCCTTTTCCCCCTTGCCCTGAAGCGAGGAGGCAACCAAGTTCGATGTTTGGGGACACAAGATTTCTTAGGACAAGAGGTTTCGCAAGATTTCATCCAATTGTACGCCAAAAATCTGCCTTTTTTGCCTTTAAGAGGAAAGATTGCGGATTTCCAGAGATTTCTAAGGCTCCAGGGGACAGGATTTCTCGAGTGGTTGCTCCCTCACCCTGAAGTACCTTGAAGGCAGTGAAGCCGCCTGGAAGGTAGGCAACGAGTCGCACTTTGCCCCTGTATGTAGGCAACTCTTTTGCCACCCCCCCCCCCCCTTGAACCCGTCTCTGAAACCGCCCGTGGCTCCCTTTGATAGTTGCCTTTGGTTCCCTTCAACTCAAACACGAAGGAGATGCATCACGGGGCAACGGGTCCAGGGAGGGAGTGACCTTTGTGATAAGTTACTCTGCCAGTCTGACTCTGTTTTTATCAAGACAAAATGAGATAAAGCCACACCCCAACATCCCAGAAAAGACCAATTATCAAGTCAGCCCTGACGGACGAGTCGACCAAACAAGCCCGGCAGTACTGCACTTCTTTGACAGTCCGAAATGTTCGGCGGCGCGTGAACCTTCGCGGGAAGTCCCAAAGGGGAAAACCTGTCCGGGGAAGAGCGGTAGGGGAAGGGGGGCTTCTCACAGGCCTCGGTGTGCTCGCCGGCGTGACGCCGCGGAACCGGCAAGTGCGTGGTGATGAAGGTCAAGCCGGCCGACCTTGTGGAGTCTCCAGTGGAGTGACTCCAGTGCACCAGTCAGGCAGGCAGGCCAGGCAGCCAGGCAGCAAACGCAGTGAAAGTGGAGGAGAGCGGAGCGGCAGTTGCGCCCGGACGGCCCTACGGCCCCGCGCCTTCCCACACTGTGAAACCAAGGGTGGAGAGCCCCACACTCGAAATGCGGACGGACGTGTGGCACTTGCAGTCTCCGCACTTGGAAGCGCAGTGCAGAGTCTGCAGCCTCCCCGTTTACTGTATGCACCATGCCAGGAGAGGGGCGACCTCCTCCCACACTTGAAGTGTACGGCCACTGCAAACTCCACACGTCCAAGTGTGCAGAATTGCTTCGCACCAGGAGGTGCGGAGTTCTCCACACTTGGTTCGACAGCGCAGGGAAGGCCAGGAGGCCAGGGGGCCCCCCGGAGAGCGCTGCACCGAACTGCACATGTGCAGTGCAGCGGCTGCAGTGCACACGCGCACACGTCGCGCTACCTGTTGAAGAGGGTGCCACGGACTCTGCGCCCTGCACACCTGACGCGTGGGGCCCGACGCCGCAGTCAGGGGCCCCGTTCACCGTGACTGCGTTGCCAATGCGGCCCCAAAGCCCGAAGGACTATGGAAAAGCCTCTTCCTCGCAGCACTCACCATTTTCCGTCGACTCGCTGCGGTCGCTGTCGCTCCGGGTTCTTTGACGGGGGCACTGCTGAGTGGCGCCGCCGTCGTCTGCTCGATACGGAGTTGCCCAGCCGCCCGCGAGAGGGCGCTGGCTGCCGTCCGTTCGACCAGCCCCCTCCCCCTCCCCCACAGCCAGGCGCCGCGAGCCAGCACCGCGTGCACGTGCATGTTTACAGTGTCTAAGGGGCTGCGGCCGACGATGGGCAGCCACTAACCTCAACAACTCACAACGGAACTCGGGACTTTGGTCCAAAACAGTCCAAAACAATGTCCTCCGCGAGTGACGAATGTCAGATCCGAGACGTGAAGCTGCGCGGCGGCCAGCTGGGACCCGTCATAGGTTGGTTGCCCTCTCATTCACTCGAAAAGCTCACTGAAAAGTCGGTCAGAGGGTCTGTCTCTTCACCGCTGTCGCCCCACGGCAGAACTACCAACCGATCGAGGAGACAGCGCTTTTCGATAATGTTGATCACTGAATACTCAAAGTCTTAGCGAATCCCGCGAGCGCCGTCAATTTTGTGCTCGTCTTGCTGCAGAACAATGTGATTTAACGACACAACGTATCGCTCGGTTCAGCTCCTCGTTTTTGGAGAGGTTATGCCCTGTCCACTGGTCCACTGGTCCACCCCCACTGTTGTTCATGGAGTGTCATTTGTGTTGTTCCAGTAAAGTTCGAGCACGCTCGATTGAAGAAGGCCGAGGCATCCGATCTGAAATGTGAAGTGTACACCTCTACGAACAGTGAGAGTGCTGGCACTGTTGCTGCAGTGGCGAAGAATGGAGGAGACGTAGTTTATCAAGGAGATGTTGCGAAGGAGGGAGATCTCTGTCGTACTTTCCTGGCTATTCGCAACAAGAGAACCAATAAGGTATCCGTGGTTAGCCATTTTTCCTTAAGAATGTGCAATTCCAGCAAACGTATTAATTTATTTGGATTTCTCATAGATGCGTATTTATGAAGCAAGCTCTGTGATGATGTCTCCCACTGTGGCTAGCAACTTTGTTGATCTATTTGATCAACAAGACCCAAAAACAGCTAATTACAAATTATCACATGCTTTTGGATCAAAGAAAAATAAGCGAATTGCTGAACAGAAAGCACGCATGACAGTCAACATTGACAATGTCAAAGAAAAGCTTTCAGCAACAGCACATGGTATGTATAGATATTCCTATGAGCTGTGTATAAAGATTGAGTGCAGTGTGTGTGCTGAGGCAGTATTAACTGTGTTACTTTTAATTCATTCATGCTGTAGTTTAAAAATATAAATGATTTTCTTTTTCCATCTTAGATGTTACAATCAATGAAGACACCTTGGCACCAGTGGAGGATGACTCATTTTTGAATATGCTGCCTCCATGTAATCAGGAAGCTGCTACTCCAGCTGATGTTTACCCAATAAGTGGCATCTTAAGTAAGAAAGAAATTAAGAGTTTGGTTCAATATTTGTCTGAAGCTGAAGAATCTGACCAGCATCTAGACCCATCAAGGTAAGTTAATGTTACAATTACATGACATGTGAGCCAACCTTGGGGATTCTCGTTGTTCTCTTAATGTATTTAATCTGACTGAGAGAAATTTTATTTTTCAGATTGTCTCCATTTTACCAATCATTGGTACAAAAGACATCTCAATGTACTCAAAAGGCTGCTCTTTTATTGTATGCAGAATCCTTGATACGTCTCTGCAAAATGAAGAAAATTGTTAGGAATGAAAAGATATGCCTCTATTCAGATCTAGTAAACAATAAAATTTTAAAAGACTTTCGCACAGGACAAGCTTTTTCAGAGTATGTAGATCATTATTATTATTATGGATATTTCTTTCAAATGATATCACGATTTTAACTTTTCCTTTTTTGTGTGTGTTTAGAATTGTGACTCAATTCATGCTGGACAAGGCTCTTGTGCACATAATAATTATCGGATTGCATCTTAATGGATTCACCCTTGATTTGGAGAAGTTAGCCCGAAGTATTCCTCGATTAAATATGACCAGGTAAACCCTTCTTTTAATTTTTTATTTGTCACATTGTCACAACAAAAAAAAAATTCATACCAACAAAAAAGAATTGTCACAAAAAAAAAATCATACCAACAAAAAAGAAAGAAAATCGCCTTTTGAGCTGAATTTGCGGATTATAATGCCTTTGTTTTGTTTTCAGGGTAAGAACACTGGCAAATATGGTAGGAACCCATTCTATGAAGAAGGGAGTGGCTTCATCAAATCTCATCGAGCTCAGAGTGCCGTTGCCGAACCTTTCCCAGCGAATACCCCAGCAACGCACGCCCCGCCGCAAATGATTCTCAAAAAGTTCCATGGTATATAACTTTTTTTTTTTTTGTTAGTAGTTTTGATGTGATATTTTTTTTTTATGCTGCTCCCAATAAATGATACTGTGCCTGAATTTCTTGTCTTTGGGACGACACTGTGCCTCTCAATGGGATGGGTTTGCAGACTGCAGTGTGACAGACGTGCCAGGAGGGAGCTGCAAGCTGCAAACTGCACACATCATCTCATGATGATCATCATCATCATCATGATCGTCGTCATCGTCGCTGATAGTAGGTCTCTCCACACCTTTGGCGGTTCGGGTCCGCAAGGCAATCCGACCTCGCGCGAACTGCACACGCACAGTGGGCCAGATGACCGGTGGAGGCGGTCAAAATTCTAGACGCGTTGTGAGCTCCAGAGTCGCTAAATGGGACTCGAACCGAGCGTGTGACTCCATCAATGGATTGCTCTCCGAACAAAGAATCCATTGCTGGGGTGACACGCTCGGTTCGAGTCCCATTTAGCGACTCTGGAGCTCAAAGCGCGTCCGGGATTTTGACCGCACCCACCGGTCTTCTGGCCCACTGTGACACGCCAGAACAGCCAGGGCTGCACCGCTGCAGCCAGGGGCGGAGCAGGCGGAGGGAGGAAGCGCGGATCCAGGAAGGAGAAGGGCGAAAGGACAACCCCTAGATAGCCGCCTGCAAGGTAGGCGGACAGCAACACTTTGCCGCGGTCAATGGGCAAAAAGTGGCACTTCCTCATGCTGGCTGTGGATCCGCCTAGAGATCCGCCGCAAGGTCCGCAAGGGATCTGGCTATCTAGAGGCCGCGCTGCAGCGGGCTGTGCTGTGAGTGCCGCGAGCGCGTGGGGAGTCCAGGGAGTGGGGGAAGGCCCTTCCCCGCCGCGCCCCGCCGCCTCCAGCGCCTCCGCCAGCCACTCCAGGCTTGTCCAGGCCCGGCGCCCCACCCCACCGCGTGACCCACTGCTGCGTGGTTCCCGGCGCGGCCGCCAGAGCGCCACACTTGCTTTGCCCATGGCGTGCCCATGGCGTGCCCATGGCCATGGCAGCCATGGGGCAGGAGAGAGGGGGGCGGGGGAGGGGATGTACCTTGCTGGCGGTGCTGGCACGGCCGGACGAACGGGACGGGACGGCCCAAGTCTCCCAGTCAGTTCAGTTGCGCCGCGTCGCCGCCGACACCGCCAGGCCACTGCGCGTACCGCGCCGCGTCTCCGGTTTGGTGAATGGAACATGTGAAGTCGCGAGTGGCGAGTGTGGCCGCGCGCGTCGGATTGCTGGTGCCGCTGCTGCCGGCCGTCTGGGCCTCGCGTCATGTTTGAAGGTAAGGCGGTGTCAGTGTCACGGCGATGCGGTGCGGCGTCGCCCCGCCCCCTCAGCCCCATGCCTCGCACGTGTCCATTAACCTAGCGGGACTCCGCGCCGCTCGCCGCGCCAATCGGTGCGCGTCCCGGCGGTCCGCGGCCACGGCCAGCACGGCGTCGACGAGGCGCTGCGGACCGCCGCCGCGCCGCCCGGCCTTCCATACAGCCCGACGGCGTGCCGGGCTTGCAGCGCTTGCAGTGTCGCGGGCCCGGAGACGTTGTTGACACTCGACGTGCCCTTGACGTCGCGTTGCCCCGCGACGCCGCGACGCCTCTGACGGCCGGCCCGGGAACTGCCGACCCGTTCCGCGACTCGTCGCTCCGTCTCTCTCGCGGCCTCGCGGGGCGCCACGCGAGTGCGAGAGAGACAGCGCGGCGGAATGAGCGTCCTGCCGGCGGCACTCGGCCACGGCGGCCGTGCCGTCGTCTTCGGCAGGCATCTGGAGCGTGACGACGGCGACGTGACTCGCCGCGCGGACTGCGGACCGCTTCCAGTCGTCGCGCTGTCTCTCTCGCGCCTGTGGGGGAAGCCCCGGGAGTGCGAGAGAGACAGAGCGACGACTCTCGGCAGCGGCGTGCTGTCGCGAGGGGCAGGAGGCGGAGGCTGCCTAGCCGCCATCCGGTCGCGGCCTCGCGGCTCCGGCTCTGTCTCCGGGGCGCCGTGGCAAAACACCACGCGGCGACCGCGGCGCGCCACGCGTAGCGACGCGTAGAGGTAGAGGGCCACGCGGGGCCGCCGTCGGCCGGCGCTGGGCCGCTGGGCCGCTGGGCCGCTGGGTACGCGGGGCTGGGTGGGGCGTCGGACTGTACACTGTACAACCACAGCGCTGGCCGCGCCGGCCGCGCAGCCGCGCCCACCCAGCCGAGTCGCGGCTTCCCGCCCGACCGACCGCCGCCAGCCGCCGCCGTGTCCAGCAGCAGACTCATTCCGGCAGTCGTTTCCGTCGCTCTGTCTCTCTCGCACTCGTGGGGCGTCCCGTCAGGGAGCGAGAGAGACAGCGACGAAACCCGCTCTCGGAATCCTCTCGGCCTGCTGCAGGCCGAATTCCACGCGGACTCTTCGTCGCCGTCTCTCTCGCACCCATTTAGGACGTTGCTTGAGTGCGAGAGAGACAGAGCGACGGAAACGACTCTCGGAGTGAGACTCCGGCCCGGCCGCCACCACGCCCCTCTCCGTGCTCTCGACCACGGGCAGCCCGCCGCCGCACTGCCGCACGCGGTCGCGAGCCTCGCTTGCTCGCAGTCCAGCAGACTCGCTCTGTCTCTCTCGCACCCACACGGGACGCCCCGTGAGTGCGAGAGAGACAGAGCGGCGAAAACGACCCTCGGAATCAGCCTGCTGGCCACAAAGAGCGTGCTGTCCGACGGCCGGCCGCGCACAGTGGGCCAGAAGGAGCGGCCAAAACTCTAGACGCGTTTTGAGCTCCAGAGTCGCTGAATGGGACTCGAACCGAACGTGTGACCCCACCAATGGATTGCTCTCCGAACCAGGAGTCCATTGGTGGGGTCACACGTTCGGTTCGAGTCCCATTTAGCCACTCTAGCGCTCAAAACGCGTCTAGAGTTTTGGCCGCCTCCACCGGTCTTCTGGCCCACTGTGGAGCGCCTGGCGGGGCCAGCGTAGGCAAACCCGCCGCACAGGCGAGCGCCCGGGCTGCCTACCCTCGGGGTGACAGGGGCTCTCTGGCGCCGACCGCGTGTCGCCTAGGCCAGGGGTCTCAGAGTGAGCATGGCTTGCGGGCCGCATAGAGAGAGAGAAAGGCAAAGAAGAGAGATAGGAGATGAAATGAGTGAGGCGGCGAAGGTGTGACACGCCGGACTCGACCCAGCCGCACGGCAGCGGCGACGGCGGCGACCCAGCGCTGCGCTGCCTCGGCCGCACGGGCTGACTGTCTGTCCTTGTTCCTCCCATATGGCCTTGTGAGTGCGAGAGAGATGCCGGCCAGCCGCGGCGAGCCGGCCGGTTGACACGTTCGACAGCTGGGCGACGAGGCAGCCGCCGCCGCCCACACTGCAGGAAATAACCACAACAAAAGTACACAAATTTCTGGCAAATTTTTTATCAGGTTTTTATTGTACTTTCAAAGTACAACAATTGTTGTACAAAGTACAATGGAACCGGTGCTGGGCAGTGCAGGCCTCGTTGTGGTTTGTACAATTCTCGTTGTACTTTCTACAATTCCTGTGTACTTTTATTGTACAGTTTTTGTTGTACATTTGTTGTACTATTCACACTTTTTCTTGCAGTGCAGCCGCCGCTGACTGAGCCTGGACCTGTGCGAGTCTGGCCCGCCTATCTTTCCCGTTGCGGCCCGCTGCGGGCCGTGTGGCACCCGAGCTCCGGGCCGCCCGTCTGAGTCCCCTGGCCTAGGCGGTTACGAAGGGCCGTCTGTCTCTTTCGCACTCATGGGGCGTTGCACAGGGGTGCGAGAAGGATGGAGCGTCGCCGTTTGTCACCCTCATGGGGCGGGGGCGGCCCGAAGGGATGTAATATAGGGAGCGGACGAGCGCTGCGAAACGACGGAAGATCATTTCGTCGCTCTCATGGGGTGTCCCTGAGGGATGAGAGAGTGTGTGAGAGAGAGAGAGAGAGAGAGAGAGAGAGAGAGAGAGAGAGAGAGAGAGAGAGGAAGCATCGTTTTGTCGCACTGTCTGTGGCGCTCATGGGGTGGGCTCAAAGGGACCTGAGAGAGTTAGGTAGAGCAAGCGCTAAAACGACGACGGATCGTTTCGTCGCTATGTCTATGTCACACTCATGGGACGTCCTGCAGGGACAGGAGAGAGAAGAGAGAGAGAGAGAGAGAGAGAGAGAGAGAGAGAGGAAGCATCGTTTTGTCGCACTGTCTGTGGCGCTCATGGGGTGGCTCAAAGGGACCTGAGAGAGATAGGTAGAGCAAGCGCTAAAACGACGACGGATCGTTTCGTCGCTATGTCTCTGTCACACTCATGGGACGTCCTGCAGGGACAGGAGAGAGAGAGAGAGAGAGAGAGAGAGAGAGAGAGAGAGAGAGAGACACCTTTCTTCGGAAGAACCGCTCGGCCGGAATCAAGTGGCGGGCTTCTGGCTTTGGGTGCGGCGCGAGTGGGCTTCGCTTTGATTGGCCTTGCAGACTGATTCCGAGAGTCGTTCTCGTCGCCATGTCTCTCTCGCACCGGCACGCGACGCCCCATGAGTGCGAGAGAGACAGGGCGACGGAAACGACTCTCGGAATCAGTCTGCCGCTTGCTTCCAGGAACAGGTCGATTCGGAAGCCCTACCCATTTGCATGACGCAATTAGAGCGACGAATTGGAGCGGCGTGTCCGCGGTTCGCCGCCCGGCGGCAGCGGCCTTCTTTCGGCCCTCTCAGGTGGCGGAGCGCCGCAGAGCGCAGCCCTGTGATTACAACGGCAGGTTTCGGACCCAAGGGCGGGTTCCAGAGATAGGTTCAGGGTCAGGGAAAAGGGAGGCGCCCCCCCACCCCCCTCCGGGCAGTCCAAAGTTGTCCACTTCTAGGGGTAAAGTGCGATTTTGCCAGGCTTTCAGGTGACGTAACCGCTTTCGGGGGGATTAGCGCTGTCCAGGCGGATCGAGCAGCTCGCTGGGCAGGCCAAGTACTGCCTCGCCCCCCTTCGCCCCGCTTCACCCCACATCACCCAGATTCACCCACTTCGTCCGCTTCACCCAAGGCTTCACCCACTTTGTCCGCTTCTCCCCGCTTCACCCACTTTGTCCGCTTCACCCAAGGATTCACCCACTTTGTCCGCTTCA